GCCGCTCTCTCTAGTAAAGACGGACGTCTGCCTCGCATATACCGCCTGTTCCGATAGAGGACTGACCGCTGGCACCATCTAGACGCAAATATGAGGACTGACCCAACAAATATCATTCTGGACTGGAATTTAAGTGCAATGCTTAGACTGTGGTTGCATTTCATCTATAAAGTACTTAAAACGTGAGTTTAAAACAATAGTTGACCCAAAAATTCTGTCATTATTTAATCACCCTCATGTCATTTCAAAACTGTAGGACTTTCTACCGTGGAGCATAAAAGAAGATATTTTGAAAAAAGTCAGTTTTTTTTGTCTATAAATTTTAAGTCGATGAGCTCTAATGGGTTTGGTTCTTGAACATATCTTTTCTGTTATGCAGAAGAAAGAAAGGTTTGTAATGACATGAGGGTGTGTAAGTGACCATTTTGAAATTGGCAGAGTTTAAATTCACACACCAATGCATTATTTTGCATGATTTTGTTGAATTCGCCATGTGTTTAAAGTAAATGAATGTGTTAATTTCACATTTCCATCTTAATTGGCTCGACAAGTGGACTTTTCCATGGCATTTGTTCACATTTCTGCATTGTTGTTCATAGGCTGTGCTTTTCTGTGTAAAACTGGGCAAACCCAAATGATATTTCACACATCACATACCAATTTTCAGAAAGTTCTACAAAACCTTTATGCTTTAGTCAGTATATTGAAATATCTGAACAGAATGACAAACTGTGCAGTCTACCACTTACCCTTGCTGTGAAAACACAGTGTACAGAATGATAATCCTGTTTTCTCTTGCTAAATCACTGTTAACATGAACCTCTGATCACTAATTAAGAGTTTGTTTGCCAGATTAATGTATGTCTGTTTAGCGGTTTGTGTTGTATTACCCTACAAGAATATATTTATTCCCTTGTACTTCATCAGTACATGTTTACTGTTATATATATTTTTTTTCCATTGCTGCCTATTAAGATGATGGGAATGGTTGAAACTGTAATGAGCAAAAACCCTCATGTTCCCTTCAAAAATAAAAGCTTGATCCTTTGTATTATTTATTTCATGTACACATTTGGTCCAAAACGTGTAATCGAAACAAATAAGAAATAACACCTCAAGTATGAGTTTTGGTATTACTTTACATAGTAAATAAACATTTATAACAGGCTATTATTTGGTTTTAAACAGCAGAATGTACTTGAAGTCACTGAGGCAATCATGAGAAAGGTCGCAGGCACTTTCAGTACAAATAGGACTGAAATTCATGATGTGAATGCATGACTTACTATTACACCAGTCACTGAGATCCATGCGCAAGCAACACCAATACTATGGTCGTTCCTGCTCCCATACATCTGTCACACTTGACATCAAGTAAGCTGAATTATATTGGATATGTTAAGGCAGTAAACGCAAGTATAGTCTGTGCCTCCTCGCTTAGATTTTGCACTCATTTGAACCCAAGGTCAGCCTCTCTACATGATACCACATTGACCTATCAATGACAATCCACCAATAAAAACAACTGCTAACAAATGTTGCTGGTAATTATGCTACAGTACGGTTCCCTTTTATAAAAGAGTACAACTGTTAGCAAATTGTTAGGTAACTCTTCAAAAATGATCCAGGAGCCAATCAAATGAGCTGCCTGGTACTGGTATGTGTTTACAGTTATCAGTTAAAGGTGAGCTAATGGTTTAACAAGGCCATGAAACACTATCAGTTGGAACCATATACAGAAGAGACTGTTTCGGCTTGCAAGTTAAATACCAGAATATGAAATAATACAAAAAATGGATTAGGAATAACTGATGTACAGTACAGCGAAGTTCATTTACTCCGGTCAGTATATTTTATAGATTTCTATAATATTTTATAGTACCAGCTGTCCAGCCGCAGTCTTTTAGTCCCTGGACTGTGCACTTGACATCCGTAGTACCGAGTTATCCTTTGGTCCTGAAAGTCCCGCTTTCCAAGTCAGTACCTCTGTGTTTGAAATGATCAGTTTTAGCACCCTACGGCTCTCACACACTGGTCCCCGATCAGGATATGGTGCAAACCGTGCTGTTATTCTGGTTCTTCATGGCTGCCTCTCTCTTTTTCAGCTCCCTGGTGATTCTCCTTCGGATTCCTTCTAGGTACAGGCTCCTGTCAAACTGGCCAGCACCTAAAGGAATGCTGGGGAGGATAATACACTGATTTAGTGGTTTCTCAAACCTACATGAATAACATCCTGTGAAACATGAACAGACCACAAAACATTAACATTCCATTTTGTAAATTGATGAAAAGCTTGTGTCTACTAGAATAAATCACGTGGTTTGTTTTGTAGAATGACAGTAGAAGGTGTCCCAGGACCCAGTGCTTTTGCGTCATTATCTTTGTAATGCAATATATGTAACATCAATATACAAGAATTACATGAATGTGAATGTAGAGTGAATCTGGTTAACTACTGGTTTAAAAGTTTAGTTCACCCAAACATTAATCTTCGAAATACAATGAAACTTTTGAAGTGAGCTTCCCATATTTGATGAACTATATGTAAGTGCTTTAATCAGTGTTTAACCTGATGCTGAAGTTCAAAAATGACCTTTTTTTATTTTAGTGATATGAATATATATTTTAGTTGATACTGTTTTATTTAATACCTTGTATTTTTAGGTATATTTTTTATGGTACTAAATTTTATTTATGCAATAGTTGTGATCCATTTATTACCTGTTAACCACTTTTTCAGCGTAGATCTGAAAATGACATTTCCATTTCCAACTGCTGGAATTCTTTGGAGCAGACTTAAGTTTGGTCTCTTATCATTTTATTATGTTAATTATTATGAAAAATGCACACAAATACTATTTTAAAATTGTATATGAAATATATATTTACCAAAACATATTTTACTCTAAAACCACAAGAAAATCAAAACCTAAAAAAAGTTGTGTTCCAAATTTGAGGTTGAGATCTCAAAAATTTCCCATTCGTTTTCAATGCAGAAAATTTTGGCTGCTGGAAGTACAAGTGTGACTATTTTCAGAACCATTTGAACTTTTCGAATTATGCCCATGACTTTTTTCTTTTTGTGTTCACATAGTAAGTGCCAAAACCTTTACCAAGTTTCGTACCACTCCAATGAAGAGCACAAGAGGGTTAAATATGGGTAACATACCCTAAATTAAAGCAGTTCAACATTTAAAGCCATCATGTCTCTTAAGAAGACTTGAATTAAACCGCTCGACTCATATGGAATACTTTTACAATGTCTTTATGAAATTTTTGAAACTACGATAGTTTTGGTGACATGGATGAACAGAAATCTCAGGTTTTATTAAATATATCTACATTTGTGTTTCTAAAATTAACAACATGAAGGTGAGTAAATAATGACCAACCCTTTAACTACTTTTCTAGATAACTACCCAGTTAGAAGAAACAAGTGCAAGTGCAACTGTTAAAATCATTGAATAAAGACGCTTACTTATCTCGACCTGGACGAAGTTTGACCTGAAACATGCCGATGACAGGCCGGTGATCTGATGTCTTAATGGACAAGCAAGACATATACTTGACCACTTTAATGTCATCTGCTTGTCTGTTTCGATAAAGAATCCGGTCCTGTCAACAAATGAGGAAAAATCAACAACTGTACTAAAGGGTATGTAGTGATGTATTATCATCATGCAATTAGCAAAAAAGCTTACTGTATATGAGGGTGTTCTCTGCTTTGTGGTGGTGTCATAGACGTCACAACCAATGTCAAACTTGTATGTAGGAGGAAAGTGAATAGATGCTTCCTGAAACCCTTTAAAAATGGAACCTGCAAATGCACAAAGACAGATTCTTCCTGTTAAAGAATTCGTATTTTTCCTTGAAGGGAGCATATGCATAAATTACACAGGACTGTAATTTTGCATCTAACTTGCCTTCTTTCATCTCTTTCAGCAGCTGGTCATGCTGTAATAGTGGGCTCATATCTGCGCCCATAACCTGATTCAAAATGGCCTCCACCTCACCTCTGGCTTTATTCAGGCGGAAATTAAAATCTCCAAACCAGAAGACCTCATCAAAACGGGTTGTGACATCAGCTGAGAATGAGTGGCAAATTTGATCATTCACCGAAAAATAAATACACTATAATTGACAAATGTGACAAATGCAGAAACACTCACATGTTGTGGAGCGGTAAGGGTTTGTATCTGGGAGGTTTCTAGGAAGAGCCAAAGCTTCTATGATCTTGTTGTAATCTAAGATCCTCTCATATACTTTAGAATCTCCAGCTGAGACAAATACAAAGATGGTTGGGTTTATTTATAGTTTATTTATAGTTTATGTAACTGGGTTGTTAAAAATATTCCACTTACAAGTGAAATGGGATGTAATAAAGAGGAAGGATGTCCCGAAGAAAGTAAAGCCGATACCCACAGCTCCTTTAGTCTTAATGTGAGATATAATTCTGGTTGTAACTGTAGCATGTTCCACCTCTGTAACGGCAAAAAAGACAGCTATCTATTATATTATATTATTCAAAAATTTGGGGTCTGTAGGGTTTTTTTTAAATAAATGAATACTTTTATTCAACAAGGTAACATTAAACAAACTAAAAATTTACCGAAAATGGCAGTAAAGATTATATACTGTCACACAAAAAAAAAATATTTCAAATAAATGCTGTTCATTTGAACTGACAATATCATTGATAATTCAACACTGATAATACTAAAGTTTCTTGTGCAGCAAATCAACATATGTGACTCTGGACCACAAAACCAGTCATAAGGGTCAATTTCTCTACAGGTGCATCTCAATAAATTAGAATGTCGTGGAAAAGTTCATTTATTTCAGTAATTCAACTCAAATTGTGAAACTCGTGTATTAAATAAATTCAATGCACACAGCCTGAAGTAGTTTAAGTCTTTGGTTCTTTTAATTGTGATGATTTTGGCTCACATTTAACAAAAACCCACCAATTCACAATCTCAACAAATTAGAATACTCCATAAGACCAATAAAAAAAAACATTTTTAATGAATTGTTGGCCTTCTGGAAAGTATGCTCATTTACTGTACATTCATGGAACATGATCTTTACTTAATATCCTAATGATTTTTGGCATAAAAGAAAAATCGATAATTTTGACCCATACAAAGTTTTTTTGGCTATTGCTACAAATATACCCCAGCGACTTAAGACTGGTTTTGTGCTCCAGGGTCACATATTAGAATTATTTCTGAAGGATCATGTGACACCGAAGACTGAAGTAATGGCTGAAGTAATAAGGTTAAAATGCAACTTTGCATCACAGTAATAAATTACATTTTAAAATACATTAAAATAGAAACATTTTTATTTTAAATTGTAATATTTTACAACATTACTGTCTTACTGTATTTTTGATCAAATAAATGCAGCCTTGGTGAGCATAAGAGACTTCTTGCAAAACATTAAAATATCCTGCTGACCCTAAACTTTTGAACAGTAGTGCACAACATATATTATATCATTTTAATTTGAAGAAAAAAAGCTTTACCTGAACAGAACCATATGAGGTCTCTCCTGACAAATACAGTGAGATAGAGAACGCCATGGGCTGCTGCATACAGCATCACATAATACGGCCCAAGTGTTTCCTGCAGACGGATCTCCCACTCCCTCCTGTGGACAAACATGAAGAGAGTAAATGTGCTGAGTATCAGAAACAGACAAAAAAAAAAAAAACCTGTGAAAA